CAGCCGTCATTGTTGTTTGGCGGGTCCGGGCTGGGGATTCGAACCCACCACCTTAGGTGTACGTGGCTGGCGCCTTAGCCGGTTGAGCTATAGGCGCCAAGCCTTAATTTTTAGTAGAGGCCAGGTCACACTCTTGCTCAGGCTGATCTTGAACTCCTGGCTCATGGGATCCTTCTGCCTTGGCCTGCCAGAGTGCAAGGATTATAGGTGTGAGCCAGTGGGCTCTGCCAACCGGGTCTGCTTTTGCTTTGGCTGGATCACTTCCACCCCTTGGTAGCCTTTGTTTTGATTGTGCTTTGTGTTCAGCATTGTACTAGTAAAGCTAGTTCATCTCCTCTTACAATTCTTTGAAGAAATGCTTAAGGATCTTAATCACACTTGTTTAAAATTTCCATTGAAAGCTCCACTCTTGTCTATAGCTGATCTGGGTACAATGGTTTTGGTACCTGAGTGGAAAATTGACTCAACTTTAATTTTTCAGTCAAATTCTGTAAACTAAACCAATTGAGCTATCTATGGTGTTGGCTGTTGTTTCTGCTGTTAATTAATTTGTCAGTGCTCTTCAATTAGGGCACGATCAAGATTAATTTTTTCCTCAAAAGTTGATGAGGATGGTCTATTGCTGTGGCCTTCCTCTTTAATACTGTCTTTTCTCTTCTTAAATGTACCCATTCGCCCATTTACAAACTGATTTAATTTCTTTTTATTTTTTGGGTTTTTCTTTCTTTCTTTTTTTTTTTTTTTTAGAGACAAGGTCTCACTTTATTGCCCTCGGTAGAGTGTTGTAGAGTCACAGCTCACAGCAGCCTCCAACTCCTGGGCTTAGGCGATTCTCCTGCCTCAGCCGCCCAAGTAGCTGGGACTACAGGCGCCTGCCACAATGCCTGGCTATTTTTTGTTGCAGTTTGGCCAGGGCTGGGTTTGAACCCACCACCCTCGGTATATGGGGCCAGCACCCTACTCACTGAGCCACAGGCACCGCCCTGCAAACTGATTTCTTTGGGGCACCATCCCCACTGACTTCTTGTAAAGCATCAGTGATTTCACCATTCTTCCACCTAAGCCTCACCATATATTTAATGTTTGTTATTGCTTCAGTTTTACTAGAATTCATGTTGCTCTGATAGAGGCTTTTGAAACTGAAGTCCTTTTTTTTTTTTTTTTTTTGAGATCGTCTTATTCCATTGCCTTGGGTAGAGTGCCATGGCATCATCATAGCTTGCAGCAACCTCAAATTCTTGGGCTTAAGTGTAGTTTAGACTACAGGCAGGTGCCACTACATCCAGTGAGTTTTTCTCTTTTTTGTAGAGATGGGGGTCTTGCTTTTGCTCAGGCTAGTCTTGAACTCCTAAGCTCTAGCAATCCATCTGCCTTGGCCTCCTAGAATCAAGGATTATAGGTGTGAGCCACCATGTATGGCCTACATGGATTGTAGTTACAAGAGGCTTGAGTTGTAAGTGTGCCCATCACCCAGTGTGTATTGTACCACCAGGTATGACTTCACCCATCTTCTTTTCCCTGCCTCCCATGTGGCCAATTTTCATTGAGTTTCACTTCTATCTGTGCACATGAGTGTGGTTCGGTTAGTTCCCTCAGTACCACATTCATTCATGTTCAGAAAAGAAGGTACCAGCAAATTGTAAGTAAAATAGCAATTATTATAATAAAATGTTTTGTGAAAGAAAAAAAAAAAGAAAAGAAGGTACCAGACTGAACAAGGGCCAGACCCCGTCTCTATAGAAAATAGAAAAATTTGCCAGGCCTGGTGGCTCCAGTCTGTAGTCACAGCTATTCCAGAGGCTGAGGCAAGGGACTCGCTTGAGCTCAGGAGTTTGGGGTTGCTGTGAGCTATGAAGATGCCACTGCACTCTAGCTGGGATGACACAGCCAGACCCTGTCTCAAAAAAATCAATCGGCTCGGCGCCTGTGGCTCAACCGGCTAAGGCGCCAGCCACGTACACCTGAGGTGGCGGGTTCGAATCCCCAGCCCGGACCCGCCAAACAACAATGA